TGTTTTTATCAGTTTTCATCTCTATCGGCTTCAGTTTTATTGTTACCTTGCGCTGTATCAGGCTGCAACATAAAACCAGGACAGAATAATCATTGAATTCATCTAATCTTTTTTGAAAAGTAGAACTCACAGAGTTGATCAAGCGAACATGCTGAGAATTAACCAAACGACACACAATGGCCCATTAATCTAAACAGCTGATTACAAATTAACCTAGAGGATTTGGTCACTTGATTCTAACGTACAGTTGCAGAAAATGTCAGTTTGAACTCACTTGAACAGAACAAAACCAAGGGCAGTGACAGCCCAACGCCGGACGTCATCGTTCGTGTCACTGACGGCTGCATGANNNNGCATGAAGAAGGCGTTGTACTGGCTTGTTTGTACCAGTCCCACAATAAGCCATGGCAATAGTAGCCATTCCAGCCCAACGTAAGATTGGATCGTTGTCCTGACAGGGAACACGTGAAAAACAACAGGGTTAGGAAAATATTGCATTATGACAGACAATGAGATTGCGACAATCTTCGGTCAGCAGAATGCATACACTCGGCCCGCAAAACAGGTCACTCAATTTAATCCGAAATAAGAATCACAACCTTCCCAAAACTTACCACAATAAGACGATCAATGAGCTCATCAGCCTCCTCCAAACGCCCATACATGACCATCGCTATTCCGAGTGCGATACCGCGAATGATCTTCTCGTGAGCTGTTTCCTTCGCATAACCCAACAGATCTTCGATCACTTGAGCCGAACCGGTTCCAAGCATAACTAGTCCTATCCCGATTCCAGCAGCTTCGCCTAGCGAAACGAACGAATCGGTCATTCAATCGTGAACATGTCATAACATTAGCGGGAAAATTCTGACGCACAGATAATGTAATATACACGTAAAAACTGTGTATAAATCCAGCGAGGTATACACAAAAATCCCGACACACTGAATATTTATCATGCGTAAAAACCCTGAATCGTATTATTTTACTTGAAATCTATCTGGTGGTTTAATTGGTCAGTTGTGATCCATATAAACTAACTGAGACGTTTTTGACTGCTCTTATTGACTTCTTCGTTGAACACTTTTTGGAAAATGAATTTGACGGTGGTTGATCATCAACATTTCGATAGTATTATGTACAACTAAGTGTGATGAACAGCAGACGGGGCGGACCCCATAGTCACGAGGACCTGTTGTTTCTAGTGGTGGAAACCGGCAACCTAAGCCCCGGAAATTGGAGTGGCGAACCGAATAAGGCCCCGATAGGTTAGGCGTGGTATTGAACCGGACGACAGCAGACCTGCCTACCACCAAAGTCGGGTGGCGGGGCTCGAACCTCGGACTATAGGGTCCAAAGCACGCCCGTAACAGCGACTAAACCACTACGCCACCACCACCCGACTCTATTTACTCGCACATCTACTCTCAGAATACTGCTCAATAAAGGCGACACTTCGAACTGTGAGAAACGTGTATCACATCATCATGCGTGTGTTCGCGCGTTTCAGAATATGCTACTGTGCATAAAGCCGAGAGAAAAGCGACAAGATTGAGCAGAACTGCCAAACCTCATCCTCCATTCTACTTGAGCTTGAGATGTAGTGATAAAGCATATCAAGGACAGATACATTTTAGGGACCCTCATTCACTGGAATGGATGATCCCGGAGTGGCTTGTATAAGCACAGTTGAAAGCCATATTGTCATTAGGGATAATATAATAGAAAACATACGGCGATGATCATTTAACTAACAGGAAGAAAAAAGTGAATGAACCCATGATCAGTACAGAAATAGGCCTGTAACTCGTAATGCGGTTTAGAACTATAAACGAAGAAAAGGTATTAGACATCTTAAGCAATAATACTAGTATCATTATAAACAATGCAGTTCAATTTCCGTTTTTACAACCATTAACTGTACATTTCCATGTGGCGGTTTTGATTGCTGTCTTTTGACCGCCCATTTGAATAAAACAGCAGACTGATAGTTGGAATGTTGAGAAAAAATTCAAGCGGAAGATAGCGAATACCTATAGACTAGGGTTTCCAGAATATGGAGTAGATGAACGAGCGCCACTAATTGCGACACCCAGCTACATCACTCAGCGTCTCTAACAACCGGCTACTATGATCTCGCGGTCCCCATCCAGGAAGCCTAACGGCACCCGTGTGACAGAGTCTCCTGCTCAGGGTTTTCATATGCTCATGCCAAGTCTCAATCTGATCGCCCTTGACTTTCTTTAACCGTTTCCTGCCTCAGTAAACATCACGCGCCGTGGCAATGTATTTGGTGGCATGCGTAACACATATCCCAACAGCCGAACGTTAAACAAAGATGTGCAAACCACAATTCGCTGTCTACAAATACGGTGCGAACCAATCAAAAAGCATCGCTTTTAGTGGTATCACAGACCTTGAATTCCTTAGTGATTCATCTTCGTTGGTGGTTCGGTCGAGACACGACGCGACACGCATGTGACGAATACTACAGTAAAAGAGCTAGTTCAATTGCGCTTGGAATTTCTCCGTTGATTGATTAAGTTAGCCTCATCTGTTATGCTTAGGGCGAACTGCCATGTACAGGGATCATCTAAAAAGAAACCTTGTGTTCACGACTCTTGTAGGAGCCTGCAGTGAGGTTGCGCTCCATAATAAAACCATTTGCTGTGTTCAGCATTAATAGACTTTGATGTTGACACGACTGGGAGGTTCAGTAAGAACTCAGCGACCAACGAATTCGTGGCAACATGAATCCGTCTACAACAGGTAAGATGAAAAGCACGTATTCTCCTCGGAGCCCGTTGTAGTTTGTCAGCTAGGAAGTTCTCAAAATCGGTCGAGGCACTTGATCGGGATGAAAAACTGAGGATTAGCCAACGATCGAAAAAAGTGTGTACAACACCGGTATTCGAATACAAAAATCAATGAACCATCATGGCAACCACGCGAAGAAAAAAGGAAGACTGAAATGAACGGCGATTCGAGTTTGGTTTGTTACGAAAATGAGAAGGCCAGAACTGGTGAATAACCGTTCCATGTCACTATCTCCGAATAATCAGAAGCGACTGCAAGTTTGGTGACATACGGAATCCTCGAATGGTTCAATGGACAACACGGGTGGATTGTTGAATCAAACGATCGGAATTGTAATTGCCACGAAAACTATCACAGTTCTATGATTCAAATGCGTCAAGCAAAAGTTAATCTGAAACAAACGCAAGTATCACAACATCAAAACAAAAGTAGATTAAACTCGGTTACCGATTGCTCGTACAATGCTTTTACATGACGAAATGTATACAACGTCAAAAAAATTTTCAAAGCCTACCAGTAACTGCATCATCCTGGTACAAGTTCAATTTCATTTGATCGTAGACATCTTCGCGGCCAGTTCCCATGGCTGCCAAACCCAAACCCAAACAGGCCCCGTGGCGCACCGGTTCTGCAGTAGCTTCTTTTGTTTGATTGAGTAAATATTCTGACCAATAAGAAGTGGCGTACATGTTTGAACATAACGAAGAGTAACAGCAATGAGGCAAATTAATTCATCTAGCTTCAGTTGATGTTAAACACAAAATAAACGTAAAAGGTCCGATATTCGGCAAGAACGTAGTCACAAGTAACCTTTACATATGTCACGACTCAAAATTTCGGTCCGTGCGAACATTAACACTGTACTTTCAGGCTCCATTTTCTGTTGCCTTCTCCTCGCTACCTACCTGATCGGCTAATGACCAAAGAGATGAGACTAAACGACAATCCGAGCGGAATGTAGTTACGGAATCAATGTTAAACTAGATGAACACGATAAAGAAACGCATGAGTGTCACTCGTCGTGGAGCCCTCCTCATTTGGTAACACGTGAGCACAGTGTCACTACTAGACCAATATACTTCTGTCGAGTGCATTTTCGAAGTAACGCGCTGAACTGGATCTTACATTTGGATGAGTAGAACAGATTTTTGGACAAAAAACAGTGATTCTAGGTCGGCAATGCGTGACGTAACTCGAGTAATTAGAAGTGAAAGGAAATTCGGTCGGTACAACCGCGAACCAAATGGACTTCGGTGTACTTTTCCCGTTTATTTTTGTTTAAGGCGTCAGGTGGTGAAGTACCACAAAGGCTATACGTTGATTCCGTTGTGAACCGATTGAGAACAATAGATGAACCGTTGGATAAGTTTACAGTGAGTATAATGACTGGAATAGAAATGGCAATACCAAGATAAGTCAATGGTGAATGCGGCAATAAAACCGATGGCAGCTAACGGTTAGACTTGCGCTTCCCTGGAAGCGGTTTGGGTGGTTGTCGCATGGATCCTTTCAGAAAATAGGAATAACTAATGATTCGGCCCAGGATGGTGAGATGAGCTTCTTATGTGATAGAAGCGGGAATTAATATCTACCCTGAAGAGTGAAAGAGAGCCCGTCGGGTAAAGCTAACTTTCCTTTTTATTATCTAAATATACCATTGCAATTCTAATTCTGTCGGGAGTCAACATTATACCAACAAGGGTGGAAGTGACCGCGCTGACCCTGGGCCAGCTGAGTTTCAGTGTAGTTATCCAGCTGGTGGTCAAACAGTTGACGTTTTATCGTGGATAGTCGATGCTGCAAATCAGTTAGAACGGTTTTTGATTAAACCCTCAACCAGAAGTATTCTTACTTCACCAGCTACTACCAGGTTTCCGAATAGCGAGGCCCAAAAAGACGTAAATGACTGAGTCCATTGGTAGAAGCTTTCATTGATATATTCTGATCATCACTGAACTCCATCCAACAGCTACTCGCCTCGACAAATATCATACACCCAATAAATCTCTCCAACGGTATTCGTAAAACGTATCGACGATTGCAACCGATGAAGATCCAACACGTAAGTAAGTAACCATAATTATCTAATGCCTTTATCAATTTTGGCATTGCCTGCTTGGTTGTCTCAACGAATCCGCGAAAAGATACGTAGATAGTCATGTTAGAACACCAATGATCTGGTCTACATTTACGTTATACCCGTGACGGACTACTGTCAGCTCGAACACTTATTAAGCTTTATGGGTATAATGGAAGCGAGAGAAAAACTTCTCTTAAATACCCTTCATGGGTAGGCAGCTCTAGTCATGTGCACTCAACTGAATTAGGGACCACATTCAATTGATGAAGAGAGAAGTGGTGCATCAATGAAAAGAATGCATGTATCCCTGAATTTGGCAGAAGGGAAAATACTGTTACACTCGACGACTAGTATTTTATCCCTATTTGATTAAAAAGAGACTAGCAAAGATAATTTCATACAGTGAAAGTGAAACGAAGCCTCGAATTTTGAAAGAAATTTCAAAGCAACGAGTGGTACGTAATGTGTAATGAATTTGTATAAAATGCACTACGGATCCCCAAATACAAAACGAACGCAACTTACCCGTCATAGAACCACCATGGTTTGCATGAATGAGGCCAAGAGCAAATAATCCACCCCCTTCAGTGTACACTGAACCCGAACATCCGCTGGCATCCTTCGGTAAATATGCAGACATGAGTCGGAGAGCCTCTTTCTCGTGGCCTGTGAATTCAGCAATAGGCACACAATTCAACTTAAACGAAAGGAAAACTTCACGGTGGTGACAGAAAACACTGTTTTCTAGCACCGACAGTATATCTTAAAGAGAGTGGAACCAAAATCGATAAAAATGTGATCATAAAGACAGACCAAACAATTATAACCATTCATTTGTTGTTTCAGTGATACTAGTCCCACTAGGGTATCTATCGTTAACTTCACACAACCCAAAAATGAAGGTTGCCCGTTACCATACACTAATGTTCATATTCGTGATTATGACATTTTCCATTTCTGATGCTGGTAAGATACTCATGCGATGAATAAGCTGTATATGAGAAGTGCATTGAAGAATGGCTAAATGCATAGGAAAACCAACTCAGGCATGTAGGTAACCCTTTTGGATGAAACACACTAAACCTCCTGTGAAAAGCGTCTATCATGTTTTACATGATGTGTGCACTCGTGGCGGCGATGTGCTTCTTATACAGCAAATCGTTATCTAAGGAAGGGTAATGTAGTGCAATATTAATACCAATTGTGAATTACTCACAACATTTAATCCATATTTTTTTGTTACTCTGCTTCTACTATATAGCTAATACTTCGTTGATGAGATGAGTGAAGTCTTAGGAACAGATCTCTCTCGTTCTCCACTTTTGCGGACTAGTTGACTAATGATTCATCA